TATGTGTGTCTATGTGTGTTTATGTGTGTTTATGTGTGTTTATGTGTGTTTATGTGTGTCTATGTGCGTTTATGTGTGTCTATATGTGTGTTTATGTGTGTCTATGTGCGTTTATGTGTGTCCATATGTGTGTTTATGTGTGTCTATGTGTGTTTATGTGTGTCATTATGTGTGTTTATGTGTTTATGTCTATGTGCGTTTATGTGTCTATGTGCGTTTATGTGTCTATGTGCGTTTATGTGTCTATGTGCGTTTATGTGTGTCTATGTGCGTTTATGTGTCTATGTGCGTTTATGTGTGTCTATACTGCAGGTACTATCTTACAGTAAATGACCGTGGTAAATCACTGTGGCATGGTTGCCAAGGTTGAAACGATTACATTATAAATATCAGTTACTTTCTCAAGGGTACATTGCTGTAAAAAGTGCAGTACAGTGTAATGTAACGGTACATTTGATGACAGGGATTTGCAGTATGCAATAACGCGAGGCGTGTACTGCTGTAATACTTACAGCCATGAAACAGTGGGGAGTGTTCTTTACCTGACCTCCAGCGTGTGAATGACATACTTCCAAGGTTAACCAGTACTTGACATAAAAGTACAGCAGTTTCCACCATATAATGAATTCACCAGCAAACACTATTTCAGGTTAGAGAAAATGTTTTGAAAAGGTCGTTCAGCTAAGATGTACTGGGTAACAGTTCGAGGGAAGAGCGGTGCCAAATTCTGCGTGAGTGAGTGAGGTTTTCTCTGCTTTTAGCGACATTGAAACATATTATTACCCGGGGACACCTGGTATGAACTTCATACATTACACAACCATATGAGTAATCGAACCCGTGTTTCCGATTTGTCTGAATGCACATCAACCGCTTGTCTACCCGCCACCGAATGATAAATAGTCAACGTGTCCCCCGTGATTTTGTCAAATCCAATCCTCAAGTGTGTACTTACTTTTGCCATTCAGTTACTCGCCAACCTATATGTAAATATTATATCGTGTACATTCATACGAAGCTGGTCATTTAACTGACCATTGTAATGTACATGTGTTGCCTACCGACTGTCCGTGACTGTATAGCTAGTGTTGGTCGTACACGCATGTTGTAGGAGAATAAACTTAACATTTAGTCAGGATAATATCGGTTTAATGATGACAATAACATTTATTCATTCGAAGGCAGAAACGAAAGTGTTTCGCGCTGCACTACATCCCTTCTCATTCCTGTTTATGGCTGTTCCCTATGGCTGTTTTATCGTGGTCCGACTTGATGGCCTTCCTGGGATCTTCTCCGATAATTATATTTATAGCAGTTACCCTGTTACGAATGCCCTTTAGTTTGATTTTTCCATATCGAATAAACTGCACATAAATAAATGAAAACAGGCCTGTCAATATGATCTGCTACTTCAAATCAATATTCGGATCGTGCTCTGTCAGTCTTCAGAAGCATGTCCATGCAGCTTATCGTTACATGATTGAAAACCTGTAAATCTGAAGATAAACATCACTTCCAGATAAACCAATCAGTTCCAACAGAACAAGCTGTATCTCATCACAACCAGTCCCTCCTATCCGCGGACACATCCATCCATTGCATTATACACCAGTTTTCAGGAGTGCTTTATTTAATAAAGTATAATCACACATGTCCGTTATCTTAACGGTAACTAACATTACAGCTGAATCAAGCTGCGCCGTTTTCATGTTATATTGAATTGTGTACATTTATCGGTGGGGGTTTACAAGTTACTCGAAGGCACCGCTTCACGCCATTTTAAAATCCAATTTCTCACTGAATTATATGTTCCACACACCCATCGCTTACATTGTCACTTTAGATGCAACGTGAGAGGACACAAAAAAAGAAACCCAAGCCTGATTTCGTGGTTTTACGATGTGGCTGTACAGAGCTGAAATGTACATGAAATGTACAAGAAACAGACAGTCATCAACTGGGAAAGAAATGAGCCGTGGGTGATCTAGTAACCAAGCACACTGCTCGTTATAACATAGTCAATATGATTAATATAACACGCTGAAATAGACAAAAATGCACAACCCTGAAATCAAGAACACCTGCAGAATTGTCAGGTTGACTTAGAATCTGAAGGATGATACTGAATATTATCTCGCTGCTACTGTAGACATACCAATTGAGATTGTCAATTTCTTATAGGGATTATTAATGTCCGTGTTAGTGTAGCCCCGACCAGTAATTCACATGTCTGGCTCAGACAGAGCACTGTGACATATCAGCACTGAGCTTGCCTAGTCGTATACTTGCTTCCTGCACGGATCTGAAACCTGATCAGGAATCACTTTTTTAGATTTATTTATTCTATCATTCTGCAGATTATCGATTTGCTAATTTACGAAATATGAATCTTTAATCGGGCTATAATCGGGTGTATTCTGAGCGAAACTATAAATATCAAAGGAAAATTATGCCGAATGTCACAGTATCAAATGAACAAATTGGAAAAAGGTAAATTGCTTTGTAATAAGGATCTGAAATGTCATGTAATTATTATTCATTGAACCTGGTTTTTAACACTGAGAATGACGAGACATGGTGGACGAACCCGACTGAATGTGAGGTGGTTTCAGGGGCTTTCGCCAGTATTCTGGACGTTTCACGGTTTCTCATAGAACAGACATTCACCCATGTGCGGAATCGAACCCGGTCGGTCGGAATAAATAGCAAGCCCTTAGATATGACAGACGGGCAGCTCAACTTCTGAAAGAAAATACATATTGAAGAATAAATATTTCATAGGGGTAAGCATTGAAATTTTAATGAAAACTAAGTAGATTGTAAATATGAAAAAATGTTATTATCTGCATTGAATGGGATACATGATGTAAGTAGAAAACAGTTTCATTAAGTTACAGGGGGTTGTATACTTCAAGTTAAGGGATGGCTGGACGAGTTGAGCTAAAATTACGTATAATATCCAGCATGGTAAATGTCCTGGACCTTGGTTACCTGCACGTCTTTCTACACATCCATACCTGTTCATTTACATGTATCCATATTCAAACATGTTTATGAATATTCGTGTTTATTCATTGATATTCCCATGTGCTGATGTACCAAGCCGATTGGCGGATCAGCCAATCAGTGTATACTTCGTTGTTACGGTCTCCCGACATCACAACCAATACACGTCTTGTTGTTGTTTATCTGATCTTTTACGCCGCAGCTACTCGACGGCGGTTTGTAAACAATCTGGACTAGTGATTGACATCATGAGCATCGGTCTACAAGTTGGGATACGACAGCATCCATGAACTACTTCAGCGAGCATGACCACCCGATCCCGTTAGTCGCCTCTTACGACAAGCATGGGATGCTAAAGACCAGTCCTAACATGGATATTCATCCGGATCATGTGTGTGTACGTACCAAAGATCGCATTGCACCGTTAGTTCCATCTCTCACTTAAAGACAGGGAAAAGTAGCATTGGCTTAGAGGCCTTGAGGATGGTCCAGTGCTCCGGTACTGCTCCCCACACTTGTCCAGATTTGTATTGTGTCCTATCAGCTGCATGGCCCTGTCCACGAGTTACCTTGTGGTACATTCCGCGAAGTACCTGGTACGAATTGGTCTTAATCAACACATAATTGTCGCAAGAGGCGACTGATAGGATCGGACGGTCATGATTGCTGACCTGGTTGATGTATGTCATTTAACTGCGAAGATGGACACGTTTTTGTTTCGTTTTCTTTGTTTTATTATATTTATGGTTTCCCCTCTTCCCATGACAAAGGTGTTACCAGACCAATGTCGACCTTTGCCGAAATTGGCTCGAAGTTCATGGCTCGATCGTCGACCACCAATGGCCATTACGAATTATGTTCCTTCTACGTCCCTCCTATTTGCCAGTCAGATTCCATACTATTTCCACCAGTTTCTTAAAATAAAAGGTCAGCTCAGTTAAAATGATTAGGTCGATAATTAAGATATATGTTGTAATACAATCTATCCCACCTTGGGGCGTCTATCAACTTACTTGAACACCATATGATTAAAAACATTAAAAGGTTTGAAAAATATTTGTCTCAACCAAGTTGAAAGTACCAATGTCTTGCAAATGCTGCGATCGTCCGAAATCTGCGCGGTACGATTGGACTATGCATAGGCTGGTTAGTCAAGCCACAACTCCAAAATCCCAGCCTTCAAGGCTGGAAACTGGACTTTCTGGCCAGTTACATCCCTTGGATTCTGTTCCACCATTTGTCAGCTGTTGGATATGGGTGCTGCAGTGAATACGATGTTAGGGAACTTTTAACAGATTATAGTAATAATTAATACGACGGGAGATACACATTTCCATATTGCAAATCGAACCCTCGGGCTTCGCGTGACAAGCGAACACTTTAACCTCTGTGCTATACTTGTGTGTGGAATACGGCTGGAAGCGGCGGTGAAACATGCTAATGATCAGGCGCTAGATTTTCGAAGCTCTCTTAGCGCTAAGATAATCGAATTAATGTTAATGTATGGGACTTACAACTATCTTAGCGCTAAGAGAGCTTCGAAAATCTAGCCCCTGATCTGATATCCATTGACGTGGTGCACGTGTATGCGTCGGGTGTATGCGAGTGTCATTGTCAGTCACTGTTTGTGCTTGCATGTGTGTGCACGTTTATGAATGTTGTTGCACGTCAGGTAAACCTCAAATGTGAATGCACGGCAAAATGGTTTTGTTATTTTCACGTGCAATGCATGGTCACAGACAATTTCCATAATACGGACAACATGGGATTGACATTGTTGGGCTGATATGGGTGGTAGTATTGATTAGTAAAAGCGACAATATTCATTTCTGCTACTCATGCACAGTTTGACAGTTCAAGTCCGTCACGGCATGCACGTGCAGTGAGAGGACGGTAGAGGGGAGGATTTCCTTTATTCCCTGAAACCGGACCTACTGATATCAGAGAGGGGAAAAGTTAGAGGAGTCAGATTTGTTGTTTTACGTATCCCATAGGAATATTCCAGCTATATCCAAGGTCTGTGAGCTAATCGAGTTCCAGGTAGATAATCTGCTCGAGTTCCAGGTAGATAATCTGCTCGAGTTCCAGGTAGATAATCTGGTGCAGTTCCAGGTAGATAGTTTGGCCGAGTTCCAGATAGATAATCTTATCAAGTTCCTGGTAGATGACCTGGATGAAGATGTTGTGACCAACATCCAGTGACGTTTGGTACAACAACGTGATGAACCACGTTACTGAGTCTGACCACCCGATCTGGTCAGTGCTGGGCGGTATCCTAGGCCCCTCTGTATGGAGTTAGACTCTTAGACTCTTGGAGCATCTGACCAATAGGAGAACAGGGCCAGGCTATAGAAGATTGTACGGAGAGGTCACGGCCGATGGTGGATGTACGAGGAGTGTTTTCTTTATAAGCCGGGAATCGACACAACCGGTATTCGTCTACGGGTATGATAATAAAGAACACAATATATAGGAAGATACTGAGTCAGTGAGATAGTCTTTGCAACACTGTACAACTTCCAGACTTTGTTCTACCATAGAGGCCACAGGTTAGCGCTGCTTCAAGCAGATTTAGCTATAATCGCCTCGTAAGCGGGGTTGGGGATGTTCTTTTCTTTAAGAACAGTCACGATATTGCTAAGGAAATTATCTCGAACATCTGTATCTCAACATGTGTGCAACGTATCATCCCCTAAGTCTGTAAACTGTTTCCAAATGCGTGATGTCACCCGCAGAGGGAGATAAACGTAACTGCAAAACGATATATCCTCTACGTCTCTCACCCGGGCTGTTCTCTGGCACTCGACATAACGGGCACTTATTTCTGACCCCTGTTGACCTTTTGTTAAAATATATTAGATATTGCTACCATGTAAAAACACCTGCTCCAAATGCACAACGTCACGTGTGCAGCGTGTATGAAATACACACCAGCTATCTAACGACCTGCACGTGAAAAACATGCACATGGATCCAGGCGGGGCGTGTCTTTACGGAAGTATCGACAGGTGACGGGTCTGTGTGGGGGAAACGATACATTGAACTACATACGTACAGCAATTCAACAGCCAGACTAGACAGAACCCAGTCTTTCCCTGCCCACGCTTGAAGTATGTCTGGAGGGTGGGGGTTGGGGAGGGTCGGCAGTTACATGGGACGGGATAAGGATGGGTTGGGGGTGAGGGTTAGAGTATCAAGGGATTCATCAACGAGGGCTACAAAAGTCACGATCGTGAATTGGAAGCAGGCGTTTTGCCCAATAGATTTATATAAACAAGAGATGGGTCAGCATCTGGGATCATCCTGTAGGTTATTTTATCACCTGGTAGCAATTACGTTTTGGAATCCCGTGTGTTCGTGATGGGGCAAATATGTGTACCTAACATTACGTACTGCTTGGGAAGCTTTTAGTGTCAGTTTTCTCGCATCATTGGGATATCCGATAGTTTATCTCCCACATAATGAACTGCTCATCTTCGTTGATTTAAGCACTTTAATGTTAAGAGCTACTTTAGAATTTGAATTTAGAAAAAGAAGAGAGAGTTTCATGTCCTTGATAAAACAACACTTAAACCACCTGATTTTGATTATATGTAGTTTCGTGTCATAAACGCAGTATAGGGGAAATTTTAAAAATCTATATTATCCTAATTCCATGGTTAACAGCTGTCTAATACTTCATTTACGGACAAAAATGCGAACACTTCAACTTTATACTCCTAAGTCAACACCAAGGCAGTTCTCTAACATAGCATCTCAATTATATAAAAGCAATTCGAAATTAAATTGTCATTTAATCCCGCTATCTGCTAAAGCTTTGCTTTGAAGTATGCTGTTTTCTAGCGAACCTGAACAGGAAATAGCAACAATTATCTCCATTCCAACCAAGGGTTAATTTGGCTTTGTCGGTAGCCTACAAGATATTAATATAGATACGACAATCTATTTAATATGGGTCCTTCTACTCAAACACGTTCGGACTAGATAGGAATGGATAGTTGGTGATGAACTCCAGATAACAGGAACTACACTCCGTCAAGTCCATTCCAAAGTCAGCATGGGACGATCTAACGTCATACCTGACCCAGTTGTAGATTTCCTCTCGGGACGCGTCCGGAATTGTAATTATCTGTGCGAGTTTGAACCTAATCGACTAGATATCATAACTGACAAGCAAGTTCAAAGACCAGACAAGTATTATGGCATATTTACTTGACCGAACCTGAGGAAAAGTTGTTTGCTTAACACAAAATAGCTAGCGTTGAATGCTCAAACACATTCCAGACTTACCATGACGAACGTTAGTCAGTTTTCATATGAAACTTCGCTTTGCCTAGATCTTTAACAGGAGTTTACTGATTTGTCACCCACCAGACCAAATGTGTTTGCGTTAACTGTAAAATGTTTAAACTGACATATTTTTCTGAGTAAGAATGTGATGTGTCACGGCGAGTGACTTTTGTAGAGTCTGGCTGCATTAGCAGGGAATCTTGCCATCGAGGTGCGTTAACACACAGCCAGATCTCACATTGTAACCATCTGATTACCATTCTAGCGGGAGATTACAGTTTTTAAAGAAATACTCAACAAACAATGTTGTTAAGAATCAACATACTGGCTATTTTATTTCATGTATACTATATTCTTTGTAGTAGTAATAGTAATAGTAGTAGTAGTAGTAGTAGTAGTAGTAGTAGTAGTAGTAGTAGTAGTAGTAGTAGTAGTAGAGGAAGAAGAAGCCGTCGCTTTTATACTATTTATACAACGTGTGTTGTTTCATATTATAATTGTTGTGAAATGTCAAGTCAACTGATCCGTCTATAAACGTCTTTCTCTATCGACGAAGATAATATTATTCCATTCTTGTTGAAATGTCAAAGGCTTTTAACAGTTACCTGAAATCGTGAAACCGGTAATACAGTCAGAAATCCAAATATATTCACAATTATATATTTCTTTCTTCTCAACGACTGTAATTTCCTTTTCCACTCCACGTTTTTGTTGAATGTACTGATCAGCAAATAATTTAATTTAAAGATGCGTCTTGGCAGCGTGCATGCCAATTTTTAATATGAGGTTCGAGAAGGGTATTTACCGCCAAAGTGCACGTGCGGAACTTCGACAGGTGAAGTTGTTATCCTGACAACTAACTTTAGACCACACGCCAAAGAAAATCCCTAGTGGATAATTGCTATAAAAACCGATTGCATAGCTCAACAAAATAGTTCCAAAATCTGGAAGCTTTAGTGGCCCGTCACCAGTAATACACTTTCCACGCTTTAGGGGTTTTAAGACCAGATCATTCTTTCAACATGTTTCCTGGAATCTACTGAATGTAAACAGTTGTAAAAAAAGTACTACCGCCCAAATGATGTTTCCTCACTCGCGCCTGGCCCTTTGAGCAGCCACGGCTAATAAAGTAGAACATTTGATCGTACTATGAGGCATAACGATTCGCACCAACTTCAATTATGGCTTTTGCCAAACGTGTAAAAAAGGGGCGATAATTCACATTCACCTGTTTATTTCACCTGCCAGCGTTTATACAACGTCACTTTGTTCATAAATATTCTAATTGTATGAAACAGGTATGTAGACATATAATTATAGGTTGAAGACAGAGATTGTTAGCGAATGTTATATTATTATTTTCAAGGGTGTTTTTTTATTCACTCTTGACTACAATACTAAAAGACCTCTTTGATTGGCATTCTAGAAGTTGGGTAGATGAAGAATGAGGACTATTTTCATGGATATTTTTAATGTCGTTGTCAAGTAAGTGGAACATGAGTCTTACCACTTGCTTGACAACGACATTAGAATCTATGTCGAAAAGTCGCCTATACAGAATAAAGAAGTTGTATATCCATAAAAATAGTCCCCATTCTTCACAATACTAAAGTGAGTGAGTTTAATTTTACGCCGCACTCAGCAATATTCCAGCTATATGGCGGCGGTCTGTAAATAATCGAGTCAGGACCAGACAATCCAGTGATCAAGCGCATGAGCATCGACCTGCGCAATTGGGAACCGATGACATGTGTCAACTAAGCCAGCGAGCCTGACCACCTGATCCCGTTAGTCGCCTCTTACGACAAGCATGGGTTACTGAAGGTTCATTCTCACCCCGACCTTCACGGGCACACAATACTAAAAGACGCACAAACGTATCGTCGTGTTGATAACGACGTTGTGGTAGAAGCAGTCGTAGCATGTGTAGTTGATGTTGCTATTGTGTAAGTTGTTATCGTAAGGATGTACAAAGAACTATGACACCCAACCGCTGGTGCAGCATTATATACACATGTTGGATTTAACAGTTGTTTTATGAAACCGACCCATGACATTGTGGTTCCCTGTACAGTACCGTTTGATAACGGTATTCCATGTAAGAGAAACAAAGCAGTGAGTTATGTACCAGTTTGGGAATCCAACGAGGCCTTCAGCTACTGCGATACCTCTCCTTCGCCTCTGTGGAGGGAGAACAGGTTGCATGGTGCAGTTCCCCCTATAGTTTCGTCACGATCATGAATCTTGTCAAAGTCAGGGTGGCGTCCTTTGACACTTAGACTAACATCTAGGCTCTGAAATGAACATATTTTACAGAAAACAGTTCCTAAATCATTTTCATAAAATATAATAAAAAGGAGCAAAGAGACTTTCTTCATTTTCAGAAACTGTGGTAATCTAGACAAGCACATATTCTCTAGACTTGCATAGTCTGACTGACTGAGTTTAGTTTTACACCGATTTTAGCAATGACTTATTTGATTGGCAGAAGTTGGGTAGATGAAGGATGAGGACTATTTTTATGGATATACAACTTCTTTATTCTGTATAGGCGACGTTTCGACATAGATTCTAATGTCATTGTCAAGCAATATTCCAGCAACATCACGGCGGGGGACACCATAAATGGGCTTCATACATTGTGCCCATGTGGGGAATCGAACCCGGGTCTTCGGCGTGACGAGCCAACGCTGTAACCACTAGGCTACCCCACCGCCCTCTAGACTAGCATAGGATTCAATGGGTATGTTTGTTTCAGCATGACAGGATTAAAAGATGGCATGGTAGTTTGTTAAACAGACTTTCCTCTACTTCATGACAATGTCTGAAATTATGGTGACCAGTTGGTATGGGCAAATAAACAGTTTTCATGCTAATTACGACGAAATGTTGATGTATATCTATTAGGCATTTCATCTCCCCTCTCATCCACGTCATCAACCATAGTTGCTGAAGTGACAGGCTCTGTACGCCGTGACGTAACAGAAGGTCTGTATATGGTAGTGCAATACATGCGCAGGCGAACCAGGATTCGAACCTATGCCACTAGGTTTCTGGCAAACCTAAGAGTCAGTGAAGCATAGGGGAATTTGAAAGGGATGACATATTTATTCATAATAATAATTATTATTCTGTCTAAATGGGGGCTGAGCAGAGTTGACATCTATATTCTTACTGTGAATTCATTGACTGGTCAATCACCAGTTTTGATTTTCTTGTTTCTACCAAATATTGCCCTCGGTGACATTGCTAATTAAATGAATCTGCAGTTGCAAACAGGAGCTATTTTATCGATAGTTATACATTCATCAGTTCAAATTGCAAACTGGACCACGGAAGCTATACCCACGCACTCCGCACTTCGCTCAAGGCACTGCGCACTCCACACACGCCTCATCACTCACATTTACCCTTTCCCTTCTTCACAGTACACCGCCACCCATCTTCCCAGTACACCGCCATCCCTCTTCCCACGACACCGCCACCCCTCTTCCCACGACACCGCCACCCATCTTCCCAGTACACCGCCACCCATCTTCCCAGTACACCGCCACCCCTCTTCCCACGACACCGCCACCCCTCTTCCCACTACACCGCAACCCCTCTTCCCAGTACACCGCCACCCATCTTCCCAGTACACCGTCACCCCTCTTCCCACGACACCGTCACCCCTCTTCCCAGTACACCGTCACCCCTCTTCCCACTACACCGCCACCCCTCTTCCCACTACACCGCCAACCCCTCTTCCCACTACACCGCCAACCCCTCTTCCCAGCACACCGCCACCCCTCTTCCCAGTACACCGCCACCCCTCTTCCCACTACACCGCCACCCCTCTTCCCACTACACCGCCACTTCTTCCTCCTCCGCCACGCCCCTCTTCCCTACACCGCCATCCCTCTTCCCACTACACCGCCACCCTCTTCCCACTACACCGCCACCCCTCTTCCCACTACACCGCCACCCTCTCTTCCCGTACACCGCCACCCTCTTCCCAGCACACCGCCACCCCTCTTCCCACAACACCGCCACCCTCTTCCCACTACACCGCCACCCCTCTTCCCACTACACACCGCCACCCTCTTCCCACTACACCACAACCCTCTTCCCTACAACGCCACCCTTCTTCCCACTACAGTACACGCCACCCCTCTTCCCAGTACACCGCCAACCCTTTTCCGCTACACCGCCAGCCCTCTTCCCACGACACCGCCACCCTCCTCCCACTACACCGCCACCCCTCTTCCCACTACACCGCCACCCCTCTTCCCAGTACACCGCCAACCCTCTTCCCGCGAAACCGCCACCCTCCTCCCACAACACCGCCACCCCTCCTCCCACTACACCGCCACCCCTCCTCCCACAACACCGCCACCCCTCTGCCCAGTACACCGCCACCCCCTCTTCCCAGTACACCGCCACCCCTCCTCCCACTACACCGCCACCCCTCCTCCCACAACACTGCCACCCTCTGCCCAGTACACCGCCACCCCTCTTCCCACTACACCGCCACCCTCCTCCCACTACCCCACCACCCCTCTTCCCACAGTACACCACCACCCCTCTTCCCAGTACACCCCACCCCTCTTCCCCTTCACACCGCCACCCCTCTTCCCACTACACCCGGCCCTCTTCCCAGTACACCGCCACCCCTCTGCCCAGTACACCGCCACCCCTCTTCCCACTACACCGCCACCCCCTCCTCCCACTACACACCCACCCCTCTTCCCAGTACACCGCCACCCCTCTTCCCAGTACACCGCCACCCCTCTTCCCAGTACACCGCCACCCCTCCTCCCACGACACCGCCACCCCTCTTCCCAGTACACCGCCACCCCTCTTCCCACTACACCACCACCCCTCCTCCCACCCCTCTTCCCTAACTCTTCCCTAACTCTTCTAAATTTGATCATACGTCGCAAAGTAATATTCACTCACTCACAAATTCTTGCATTAATCGACGGTATTTACTCAGTATCATATTCTTTCCGGGAGAGAATTTGGATCCAAAGGTGGATGTTCGCATGGTAACAACAAGGTTCCCTAAATACCCACTAAAACCCGATACGTAAACATCTTTCCACCAGGCGATCAACAGTTATCTGCCCTTAAGCTTACTCTCCAGGAATGGGGTACAGAACATTTCATCCCTGCTGCCCTTCGCTCATCGCCTGCAGCTAACGCACAGTGAAGTCATTGCCTCGTCTTTGTTGTAGCAACAGTAACTCAACATTTCCACAAACTACCATAATTCCGAAACGCGAGTAGACATACTTCAAAGGACAAAGCGTACGCATGTTGCAGCCGGCCGCGCTGGCTTCTCAGCGAGCGCCCAGAAACTGCCGCGCCACTGCGCATTGCACCAAAGCACACCGGAACATGCCTTGCACGTGCTGCTCGTGCTGTGCACCTTTTAGCCTGACGCTAACGGGATCATCGAGGTGGAACATGTTTATTGGTATTACATATTTTCTGAGTGGAAGGAGCTGATTGCCAAGTAAATATTGATTGATATGTACTCAGTCTGTTAGACAAGATAATTGTTACATTGACTAAGACTTTATGCTTACCTGTGCAGAAATGTGTACCTATTTGAGCGGATGAGATTTAGTGTATGTATGTCGGCACGCATGTGGTTTACATTGCTGTGGTGTCGGCAAGGTGAAGTGAGGTTGTTTGTACAGATACATTTTATTCAATGAATGAACGCACGTTACGTTTCTCAATTAAGTTGCGAATACAACCCGGCATAGGCGGGTCCAGAGTGGGGTGCAGGGATGTGCAACAAAGTTATTTAACAAAGTGATAGTCCCGGCAAGATACCAGACTGGTTCATTGTGTCCCAGTAGCGTATATTGATGCTCATTGTGTCAATCACTCGTCTCCACTCTGTTATTTACCGACCACTGTAATATAGTGGAGATAATGCTGAGTGCTGCCTTAAAAACCAAACAAACGATGTGATTGAAAAGAGTTATGTTTTTTTCTAAATTGATTTTACATAATTAAATCGCAGACTTAACCTTAAACTGAAAAAGAGTGAGTGAGTGAGTTTAGTTTTACGCCGCACTCAGCAATATTCCAGTTATATGGCGGCGGTCTGTAAATAATCGAGTCTGGACCAGACAATCCAGTGATCAAGCGCATGAGCATCGATCTGCGCAATTGGGAAGCGATGACATGTGTCAACCAAGCCAGCCAGCCAGCCTGACCACCCGATCCCGTTAGTCGCCTCTTACGACAAGCGTGAGTTACTGAAGGCTCATTCTAACCCGACCTTCACGGGTTAAACTGAAAAAGAGATATTCTGGTGTGATAAAACATGAACTGAACTCACCATTTCTCCTTATATTATTATCAACAAAGGTATTTCAGATATTTACTTCGTACGACATGGTATAACCTATCTTTGTTATTGTGATAAACATGTCATCATTATAATGCCCTTAATGCTTGCATTTGTTAATTAGTATTTGAGGGATTTCCTCGATTCCCGGTATTCTTTACCTTAACACACCCTCCGACGAGTTCTCGTTGAAATACCCTCCTGCTTGCCGGATTTGACATATACACCTGCATATACCGTACGACCCTAGCTTTGCGAAACTATAAATAGTATGTGGAATATGGAATCCGTACTGTTTGAGAGTGTGCTATCAAATTAGATTTTGATTGAAAGGTTGTTTGGTCTAATGACTACACACGTAGACAATAGGCTTCCTTTCTCATCTCCATACATTGTAGTGCCCGTGTGTCTGCATTGTACGTCATAGGCTTCATTTCTGCTGATCTGAAAGTCCGTCTACAATATTTTAGGACGTCCATCTGTGTTGTTCTGACGGCCTACTTGCTTTATTCTTGAGGGGGTCATCTGCTTGGTCTCAAGTTCTGTCTGCAATATATTGGAGGTTGTCCATCTGCTCAGAAGGTCTTTCTGCAGCAGAAACATATTGATATGGGAGAATGTTCATATTTTGGTTTAGCAGAAGCCCTCTTGATATTGAGAAGGAGAATCCGTTGCGTCTGTTCATATGTTGATTTGGCAGAAGCCCTTTAGTTATGGAAGGAAGTTTGACATTGGAGAAGCCCGGCTGATAACGGTGGATGCGCGGGGCATGCGATACTGGTAAAGCCTATTCAGACCAATAATTAAAGCATCTTATTTGCTTAGAAGAAGCATATAAGAAAGTTCACGGTTGCGAGATTTAATTTCTTGTTTGCCGAATAGCACCAAACTACCACGGACTGATCACGGAAAAATTAATGTCTCTACAGAGTTAACTTACAATCTATACAATTTGTTTTCACGTGTCTATAACATACACCATTATCCCGTACTCATGCATATCATCCCATCTCACCAATCTCACTGCCAAAACAACAAATGTCTATAGCATACACCATTATCCCGTACTCATGTATATCATCCCATCTCACCAATCTCACTGCCAAAACAACAAATGAAACCTCAGCTGCCTCGGATCCCCCGCAACCATCCCGCTCGAGGAATGGCAACCCACCAGTTTCCACCGTCTGGTTGCAATCTGGCTTTTTAATGAATTCCAGTTTGTTTCCTATTTGGACGACATTGTGACAACAAGACCAACCTGTGCTCAAACCACCCCTGACCTCGTACGCCCTCAGTGTTTACAGTTTCCCCGCAATCCCCTTACCCCTGTTCTGCTCGTTATTAGAAGGTTGTGGTAGAGGTCTCATGCAGGGCAATGATAACAGATACAGGATGACCTTACACTAGGAGCGAACAGGGCGGTTATCCTCTGCCTAATCACTTGGTTTGATCCTCGTCAGCAACAGAAGGCTTTGTTGAATACACATCTACCTTAAGGCCGGCTAGTGAATGTAAACATGCAAGTGCTGCGTTTGGGAGATGTGCTTCAATGTTTATGTATCCGATAGCTTGATGGGCCATGTGGGTGTGTGTTTGTTGGTGGTAGAATGAAAGCTTTATATGCCAGTTTTGTAAAGGTGCATACGTGGCGCAGGTTAGTCTGTCTCACAGCCCCTGAACCACATTATTTTCCCTACTGCCTAGCCCTTCCTGTAATACTAAAGCCCTAAATGAAGCAAGTCTAGATTTCTCCAGGTTCGGGAATCTTTGGTCTCCCTGGGGCCCCTTTTTAGTTTAAATGGGTTTATTTGTTACAATCAAAATTTTATATTCAGATTCTAAGCATTAGTATAGGCTTTGGTTTGAGTGTCCGCATATACCACCGTGTGCCTGTGTGTCTGCATGTCTCTGTGTAAACGTACGTGCTCCCGAGGGATGCCCTCGTTAGCACTTGACCCCAGACACCTATGCTTTGTTAGGTGACGATGTTTGGATCAATCAACTCCGGCTCGTCGGCTTGATGTCATCGTATTCATTGTTCATTATATCAATCACTGGTTTGCCTGGTTCAGACTCGATTATATAAAGGCTGTTGCCATGCAGCTTGGGTATTACTGGGGTGGGGATTGGGGTTGAGTAGCCTTGTCATAAGCGGATCCAGAGGGGGGGGTGGGGGTTCAGGGGTTCGACCCCCTCCTTTTGAAAATGACTTAAGACCACATTGAAGATTTTGTTTGTGTTGGTGGAGAAAATCGGGGGTTCAGGGGGTTCGAACCCCTTGAACACCCCCCACCCCTTTTCCAAATTCCTGGATCCGCCCATGCTTGTGGTTACATCATTCGCTTGTCACGCTGTTCCATTACCCACTTGGGAACAATGTGTGAAGTCCATTTCTAGTTTCCTCCGCCGTGATATTGCTCGAATATTGCTGGACGCGGTGTAAAACCATACTCATTCGCTTGAGTGCGTGAGCGAGAGAGTGAGTTTGGTTTTACCCCGCTTTTAACAATATTGCAGCAGTATCACGGCGGGGACACCGGAAATGGGCTTCACACATTGTACCCATGTGGGGAATCGAACCCGGGACTTCGGCGTGACGAGCGAACGCTTTAACCACTAAGCTACCCCATGGCCCCCATTCGCTTGACTATTGCATAGCGCTACCGTAAACAACAAGCAGGACTAGTATGTGTATCTGTGGATTTGTGGAATGACAGATCATACTTATATGTAATTATGTATAAAATAACCAGAGTTTCAGGGAAACAGTCTTTTTATTAAAAAAAAGGGGGTGACTATATGATACTGTAGCAACATTGAGATGATGGAGGTTGGATGTTTGTTATTGGATCTGTTAGCGGTTTATGAAACCCTACTCCAGCTGGTGACATGGAGATTAGTTGTCTCCGGAGTCCAGAAGCCTCCCTCAACGATGGTATAGATGCCGTCACAGAAGGTTTCTTACAGAGAAAAGAAACATGTACAATTCGTTAAATACATCAACTTCATGTCTTAAAGCCAACAGACCATTGACCATTATCTTGATGAAGATGGGATTCGAACCCACAAATTGCGGAAACTGACAAAGTGCCATATCAGATTTCATATTTCGAACTACAGACTGCACCGCTGTCACCAGACGCTAGTTATATACTGTGTAAACGTGCTCATAAAACATCTTCTTGTACGCACAGGAGAATAATTATGAGATCGTAGACGTAGATATATTTCCAAATAAACAATGTTGCTCTGTCACACCAAACCTAACTTGTGTATTTGTACCGACGTGTTTCAAGCGTTAGTCAGGCATAATGTCGGCCATAAAGTTGGTCGCGGGTTGCTCTGTTTTTAGTGGAGTAATGTTTATCTTACATAACTGTTACCATGGTAATCCACAAAACATCACTTTCTCATCCAACATCGTCATATGTTTCTTGAGATATATGTCATGTATTTTTCTAACCCTCTTATTGAGAGTGTTGGGGCTTATATTTTGGTAACCTTCAAGACGGATGCAGATATGATGAACTGCTTTATCAAAATGGAAGTGTCGTCAGTTTGCTCGGCCCTTTTACTTTCTACCTTCGTGAGCAGACAGTAACACCACCAGAATGATGAAGACGTAGAAGTAAACAAGCAGAGGACCATGCCCGACCACATCCGCCGTTATCAAAGTCGCAGCTGAAGTCGTATCCAGTACAATCCAAGTTGTTGGTGCTGATGCCGTCCAGATCGGACTTGAATATCCCCCCACTGCTGCAGAATGCGAGATTCATGGGTTACGAAAACAACATGTCCATGCGCTTTCCTGTCGATAAAAACCTTCCGGGCATGCTCCATATTGTGAGTGGTTGGGTGGGGGGTAGCGGTGGTGGGGGAAAACGTTTGTGCGCGTTTCGCGTGCGTGTTGATGGGGTGTAGAGTACATGTATCCCCTCCACCACAAGCCAGTCTGACACACAAATCCCCAGGGTACAAATGTGATTGAATTGTGTGATGAACTTTCACAAGAATCCAGCCGACGGGTTGACCCTGGAGGTGAAATCTCAGCCTCTATGTTAATCCACACAGTCTGGTAGACTTGGTTCCCGCCTGCACGTTAATGGTCGTGATAGGTGTGATATCATGGCGCAATGCCGTGACACCTACCGGTCTATGTTTTCAGTTTCCGCATACGTAAACCTATACGTCCACAGCCTCGTGTTGACAGACTGACACGGAGGGGATGTCCACACTCTCGGCTGCTCCAGATGGAGGCTATTTTTGGGATGAAGCTCATCCGGGCATTTCATAGGATGTCAAGGCTTCTGTTCTGTTTGTGTAAAACTGATAAAGCCACGGGCATATAAGGTTACATAAACATAATATTACCATAAATCAGGCTACATTATAGGGATAATGTTCTAGGATGGAGTCTTCAGATGGGTTAGAGCTGCCCCACGTAGGCACAGTGCTGATGTAGTACGTGATTAGATGAACTTACACTGCATCATTGATACCATGGGGTGTAGGGAATGGAATGAAGTGTATTATCGCAACATGTTCATTTTTGGTTATAAAAACACGCAAACTCTTACATCTGTTTTAAACACACGCAGCAGGTCAACTCGCACACGTTTAATGTAAACAGAAGAGACAGAACGCTTTACACATCTATAAGAAATCTCTACGAAATGTCGATTGTACAGTGCCTACGCTATCACGACCATGTGTTTAGGAATCACTATCAAATAGTGACGACACCAGGTGTTTAGGAATCACTATCAAATAGTGACGACACCAGGTGTTCGCGAAAAGGTGACAGAATCCAGTCCAGTTGCACCCTTCAAAAACATGTGCAAAGGCTCCGCAGTCGTTCACCTGAAAAAGTCGGGAACGCCTTGGTACAAGTCAGAATAGGAACTGCATCGGGCATAATGTTTTAGAGAATGTATTGGAGGCCGGTGTGAATATAACTGCACACAATTTGCAGTGTAATCTGCGTGTCAAACAAAACTGGTTTTCATTCAACAATGCGGGCTGTTTTCTCCAGCTGATTCTGCTGCACCAGCTCGAACACAGAACACTGGAACATCTGGAATATATTCCCCCGCCACATACTTATTTGATATTGCTAGCCAGGGTGCAAACGTTACCAGCTGGAATAGGTACAATATCCAACAAAGGCAGACCTGGGTTATTACCACCAGTAAAACCCATACATTAACGTCTCATACCCAGCTGGCTGTTCCTCTATTAAGAGATAATGGCAAACATCATTATATTTCCCTTTGTACAGTTTTTCTACTCCTTTAAAGCAAACCGTTCCAAGGGCGCTTCATAAAAGACGTATTTTAAGCTGTAGACGAAGCGGAAATAGCACAGTGTTACCAACACTATCATGGCAAATTACATATTCAAATTACAAACCGTTTAAGTAGATAATGAGTCACAAACGACTTTTGATGTTGAAAACATGTTAGCACTCACAGATTGTGTTGGATTAGCATTTTTTTCTGGTTCGTGCCAGTACATTTACCTGCCAATTAATGGGGAAACCGCGCTTTATGCCTGTAATTAGATTGTTTCGCGGTGCCAAGATTCTCTACCCATAAACGGAGTCAGATTTCATCGGATTCCAATCAGGAACTTGATTCTCGGAGGCAATAGCGAAAACCAGTATTAACTTTGCCCATCGGTAGTAGAGCTTCAGGTGTCTATCATGTATTTCTGCTCACATGTCAGGATCCGAATGCTGCTGCCATCTTCTCCTGTGTCTCAGCATCAGGTTTCGTTAGCATT